AACTTCTAACTGTCTAAGTCTACCAATATTTTATACTCCTTCCAAAGGATACGAGGCCTTAGAACATATCCCCGCTCTTTGACTTATAGGCGATGGTGTCATATAGCTTATGTCTAACTTCAATGTCCCCATGTTAGACCCGATTTTTCCTGTTTTATGCAGTTGGTGGTTTTCTTTAGATTTACCTAGCTGTTCCCCATGGCCTCTGCTCATGACTTCTTTCTTGCATTTTACATCTTCCTTCTGTGATTATTTCTCTTTGGCCCGAAATAGACCCTTTGGGATTAGCATTGCTGGTAGTCTCTGAGCGGCAAACATCAATTGCATTTGTCTTAAATGTAATGAAATGGATCTATCTTTTCCTGTGCAGTGTGTATTTTCTGTGTGCAGATCATATTGTTTTTCTGTGTGGTCCTCTAAAAGTTGTATAGTTTTGTCTGTCACCTTTATTGCTAAACCACCTGGAATGGATTTTTGTATAAAAATCCGGGATCTGTGGTGGTCACCAGTGTTCTCCACCGAGTATTGAGGGCTCTCAATCTCTCAGGCACATGGTGGGGTTGCAAACCCCCCCCCCCGAAATCTGCATCAGCCATCTGTGCTTTGTAACAAATGGCCACAAACAGGCTAAAGCAACGCCTGTTTATCAGCTGGCTTCTCTGCTCAGGGTCTCACCAGACACCGGGGACGTGGTCTCCACTGGAGGCTCCGGGAGAAACCGCTTCCAGCTCACGTGGCTGTGGGCAGAATTCAGTCCTCTGCAGTTAGCTTTCTCGCCGGCGGTCAGCTGGGGGTACCGTCCTCAGGTCCCCCTGGGTGGCGGCTCCTCTCACACCTGGGCAGCTCGCTTCTTCAAAGCCAGCAGCAGACCCTCCCTCCTGTGCTACGGCGGCGTCTTGTATGACATAACGTCACGGCAGGGACTCTCCCGCATTGGTGTGAGGCGTGAACCCCCGGCCTGCTTCGGCCACGGGTGTGTGAGCAGCAGTGGGGTAGGCCGTTCCTGAGAGGGGCTTGTCATGGGGTCCCCCTCACTCTGTAAGTGAGGAACAGTGACCGCACTGTGTCTTCTCCAGTCTCCGTCTGTCTCACTTACTTTTCTTTCTTTTTAAATATTAATTTTTAAAATATGTTTTTATTGATTTCAGGGAGGAAGGGATAGAAACAGCAATGATGAGAGAGAATCCTTGATCAGTTGCTTCTCCTGCATGCCCCCTACTGGGGATCGAGCCCACAACCTGGGCATGTGCCCTGACCTGGAATCGAACTGTGACCTCCTGGTTCCTAGGTCGATGTTCAACCACTGAGCCACGCCGGCCGGTCTAACTTATTTTTCTTACCATACTATCCCAGGTAGGGCCTTTAGTACCTGTGATAAATATGCATTACTTTCAGAACGTACGTTCATCAAAAGACAGCATAGAAAGCACGAAAAGACAAACCACAAAGCCGAGAGGAGATACTGAGAACTGACAAAGAATTAGCATGAAGGGAGTGAATGTTTTCATGTGGGTTTTATCATGTAGGTGTGGCAAAGCCAACAGACCAGGAGATGGCTGCCACTGGAAAGATAGCCTGTGACTCACAGGTCCCCAGCAGAGGGCACGCCACCCTGGGGGCCGCACCACACCATGGGGGCCACGTGCGGAAGCACCAGGGTCTGTAAGGAGGCGGAGGGGCGGGGAGAGGTGGGCAGGCGCCTTTCCTGTGGTCTCCGTGGAAGGCGCACATGGGCAGGGCAAGCAGGCGGGGGTCGGCTGGTTCAGGAGTTGCAGTGGTCCCTGGGCACAGGGCTGTCCTGGTGGTCTGGCACCTCCCAGGATGACCAGGGCAGGGACAGTGTGGCCCTGAGCAGGAGTGCCACACATGGAAGGTGGTCAGGGTTCACGCTCGGGGTGGCTGGTTTGTATCCGAGAAATGTGCTGGCGGGTGACTCACCCTCTATCTCTAGGAACCAGCCCACCCTGTGGCTCAATCCAACGTCAGGAGCCCACAAGTGTCACCAAACCCTCGCACCCGCCACCCTCCGGCACAAGGCCCGATCCGAGGGACCCTCAGACTTACCTCAAAAAAGTCGTTCTGCACCTGCCGGGCAGGCCTCACAGGTGTCTCCCGTCACTGTCCCCATCGCTTGCTTCCTATTTTACTCAGAAACCGAGGCCAGGTCATGCGTGGGAAACGACTGAGGCTTTTTCCTCTCCACTCAGCACATTTCTTTTATTTTTTAAAAAAAATTTAATGCCATTAGGTCCTCTCTCTCTCTCTTAATTTTCTGGGGAAAATCTTTATTTTGTGTATTGTCAGGCATCTTGACATTCCTTCTCAGACTAACCTCACCACTTCCTTCCAGCTCCTCTCGGTTCCTGCCGCTTTCATCCGTGCCAAGCAGCCCCCTTCTCCCCACCCCTCTCTGCGGGGCTCTCGCCGAGGTCTTTGGGCAAAGCAGACGCATCCCCCAGAGCCGGCAAGGTGCCTCCTCGGCCACACAAGCTGCCGCCGACTAACTCTCTCAAAGGGCGTTTGTGGGCTCGGAGAGCCGCCTGGGTTCCTTGGTTAGAAAAGGTGTTGTTTTTAGGGCCGCTGACGAGATAGATTATTGAGCTGTATCAGAGGACAGTTCGTATTTGCAAAATGTAGTGGTTACCTTTCACCTACTTGTTGGCTAGAGAGATGAGGGTCCGGTAAAGACACCCCCTGCCAGACGCACTTCACTGGAGAGGCTGGCGGGCCGGGTTAAGCCGAAATGGTTACTGTTCCTCTCTTCTGCCCCCGAGTCCGTATGCTAACGTCTGAACCTCTCAGCCCGGCGACAGCTAGCCTCTCTGCGTGCTGTGCGTGGTTTCTGCTGCAACGACCTGGCCTAAAAGCACAGTTTTACAAACGCTCACTTAGGCGGTGAGCGCACACCGTGCCCTCGAGGCTCTGTAGCCCCGGGTTCCGAGTGGGGTTTGCTCTGTCCCCTCCCGCCGGGGACTCCCAGCCCGAGGTGAGAACCATGGAGCGGGTTATTAAGGATTCTGACAAGGTAGGCTGAATGAATTGCGTTTTCTTTGTGAGCCTTAATCCAGTGTTGTATTGGCTTCTCGGACATGGCTAATTTATTTGGAATTTCATTCTGTTCCTGACAGCGGCCTTGACTAGCTGTTTGATCACTGCTAGCGAAGTTACATACCAGCTTTCAACTGCCGAGGGGCGCAGCGTCGATTTTCTCAAGTGCATTCTCCGTCTGGCTCTATGCTGCGGCCCCAGACTCGGTGGGGGATGTGGCGGGGCGGGGGGGGGGGGCAGCCTGGGGGGAAGGCGAGGGCCACAGGGCTCTCCCTCCCCGGGGAAGCTCTCCGTGTTGGGACTGGAATCTGCTTTTGTGATGCAGCAGAAAGTAAATCAGTGTTCGCATTCCAGCAACACACACAGGACCTCAAAGGACGGCGGCCTGTGAGCTGAGAGTTCCGGTGGGAACTGGGTTTGAAGTGCACGTGCTGGGTGTGGAGATGGGATGTTTGCGGAGAAGAGGCAAACTGACCACAAACCTGCCCCGGGTCTCCGTTTCCCCAGCAACCTGCGCCCGTCTCGGCCCAAATGGCAGTCGACGTCGATCTCCAACGCACACTCGTCCCCCATGATTGCCTTCTTTTTGTAACAGCAGCGCGTCTTGTTTGTGCAAAAGGAAAGCAACGGTGATGATTTTCACTAGGATTCCAATGCTTGTGAGAACCTCGGGCTTAGCACAGTAGCCGCTGGTGGGTTCACAAATCCGGCCCAAAGAACACACGTGCTTCCTTTCGTTCGGGCTCCCCACGCTGTGCATGCAACGCCTTCCTCCCGCGTGCCTTCCTGGTGCCGGGAGTGGCGTCCGCCCGGGGGGACGTGGTGAGAGCTCTCACTCCAGAAATACACCCCAGGTCTCAGAGGATGTTGGTGCTGCGATGAAAGCAAACCCCCCAATCAACCAACCAACCAACCAACCAACCAAAAGCCAGGCGGATATGCACAGAACATGGGGGAGGGGCTATTGTCCCATTTTACAGATGAGGTAGCTGAGGCCCGGTACACGGCAGAAACACCTTGATGGAGACCCGACTTCCATAGAGCTAGCAACTCGAATGGGGTCCTTGGGGCTTGTGCTGGCGCTGTCACCATAGCACCCCAGCGAGAGCTGGTCCTGGGTGGGGACCAGGCTGTGCCTCCATCCCCAGCCCTCCACCACGGACCTCGCCTGTGGAAAGGGCTCCGCTGCCGAGCATTTTGTTAGGGGATGACCTGGGAGGACATGCAGGTCCCCGCTTCACTGGGGGCGGGGGGGGGGTGCGTTTGGGTGTAGGAAGGCCTCCAAGCCCTTTGCACCCTGAATTTAACCCGGGCCCCCCATTTGTCCTCGGCGACCAGGGCAGGAGCTCCCACCGGCTTAGCTCTGTGAGTTGTAGCCAATGCCAACTCCTGTTGACAGGGACGCGCGTCCTCTCCGTCATCTTTGTCGCGGGCTGCATGCTGGCAGGTGCAGGAGGAAATGGGAGGCGGGGGTGGGGGGGGGCAGAGTCAGGAGGAAAGAGGGGAAAGCCAAGAAGAGGTGTGATTCAGGCACAGCCGGGCTCACCTTGATCTTGAGGGGAATTCTGGAAGCTTTGAGTTTCTCCTGACCCAGCAAGAGCTCTCATCACCCACCGCGTGGCTCCGGCTCTATGTGCGAGGGGGTTCCCCCAGCTGAGGACATCCCCCCAAGAAGAGTTGTGCTTTTATGATCACCTCATTATGGTTTCCTGTGGGTGACACCCCCTTATCCATCGAAGGCCCCTGCACCTGCACCTGCACCGGGCAGCTTTTTCTCAGAACGGCAGCCCCGGGACGGCCATGACCCTCCCCGAAGGGCTTGTTGACCTTGGCCTCGCCGACTCCCAGGAGCCGGGGACGTCCTAGCAGGCAGGGGGGCCTCTGTGACCCTGAGTTTCCTTGTGCGATGTCACGTGACGGGGTGCTGTTGACTCCGTGATCTGGGCAAACAGATTTATCCCAGGCCGCCTGTCGGCACCTGCAGGGTCGGAGCTGCGGGGTGGGCGGCTGAGAGCGGGCCGGCCCTGCGTGTGCCCGGCGCCTCCGGCTCCCACAGGACGCCCGCTGGAGACTCTGGCCTCTCAGGTACGTGAGATGCCTGCTGGGATCAGCCTCTTCTTCCACCCTGAGTTCCTGGCTGCCTTCCCGGGCACCGGCACCCCACAGGCAGGTGGGTGTCTCCAGGAAGGCAACTGGCGAGGCGTCTGAGGAGCCTCTGCGAGGTCCTGGAAGCCCGTCAGTGCACGTCCCGCGGAAGCTGGCTGTGGTCCCTGACTGCACGCCGGGTCTGCCGTCCCAATTCCCGTGTGTGTGACCTTCACACCTCTGCGCGTGCGAATAGACCCAGGGCTGGATGCTAGCTGGGAGAGACCCCTGCCAGGTGCACGCCTGGGGCTCTGTGGACGGAAAAGGGTACCACTGCCTGGAGAGCGAGGCAGGGCCCAGCACAGGGTCCAGATAGCCTTTGCCAGTGGGTGGTGGCTGGGCTGCCCGGAGAGCGAGGCAGGGCCCAGCACAGGGTCCAGATGGCCTTTGCCAGTGGGTGGTGGCTGGGCTGCTGGGACCCCAGGCCGGGGTGATGGTGGAGGAGCAGTGGGGAGCTCACCGGGATTATTGTATGAAAACCACCAGTGAGTGCGCCAGCCGGGGCCTCTGCCCACCTTCAGGTGTGCTCCCTGCCAGAGCCTTTGCATTTACTCTGTAGAATCCTCTGGAGAGGCTGGGTGGGAGCCCATTGTTATTTTGAAGGGAAAGGGCTCCAGGAACTGGCTTCAGGTGACCCACGGCCCTGGAGGTCCCTTAGCTTTCTCTCTGGCTCAGGGCTCTGTGGGTCGGACCTCTACCCGACTCCCAGGACAGGCACCTGAGGCCTGTGCTCCTCGTAGGGGCCCTGAGCTCCATGGGGCCCCTTTAGGGTTGGAGTTGGCGAGGGGCCCGGGCTGTGTCTCCCCTCACAGAAACTTGGCTCTGAGAGGCCAGAGCTGAACTCGGCAGTGGGCCGAGTCTGTAGAGGTGTGTGTCCTGGTGAATGTGCATGTGTGTGTGCGCGTGTGTGTGTCGGGCGGAGAAGGGTGGGCAGACATTTCTCAGGGCCTTGTCATGCATATGTACGTGAGCATTCACGTGTGCATGTGTGTGTGCGCGTGTGTGTGTCAGGCGGAGAAGGGTGGGCAGACATTTCTCAGGGCCTTGTCTTTGGGGGAGAGGAGGGAGGGAGGCCAGAGAGTGTGACCCTGGGCACCGTGTGGTCCTGGTGTGAACACTCACACCCACCCCCCGCCCTGATCCTCTCCCAGACCTGCAAGTGGATTCGTCCCTCGCCTCGCTTTCCCCTAAGGAGTCCGTGGCCCCGAGTGGTTGGGCAGCTTGTCCGAGGTCACTCAGTGAGTCTGCAGTGGAACCTGGTTTGGGGCCAAGGGTCGCTGTGAGGGGTGTGAGGGGCCCTGCAGGACTGTGCCGTCCGGCCCCGGCCGTGGGTCTTGCCCAAGGCTTGGGTCCGCTGGCCTGGGTGGGCAGGGAGGCGCTGGGAATCCTTTTCTGGGCTGTGTTGTCTCAGACTGCACGACCCCCTCACTGTCACGGGCGGGAGTTGGCAGCCCATGTGCTAATTGAGCCGTGCTTGGGGTCCCCCTGGGCTCGAGGGGACTGTCCTCATTTTCTCCCCCTCTCTCCTTTCCCTTTTCATTTGCACAGCTCTCTTCTGGCCTCCCACCAGGCCCGGTGCCCGCCGGCGTCCCTGCCCCCACCCCACCGGGCCTGCTGCTGCTGCAGAGACGGGCACTGGACAGCGCGGCCTCCAGAGTGATAGCTAATTGGGGAGAGAAAGGGCCCGATTGTCTCGCGGGGCCGGAAGAGCGGCGTGGGCGGCTGAAAGAGCCGGAGAAGGTGGCCAGCTTCGCCCAGCAGCTGCCGCTGGAGACGTTTGCAGATTACGTCAGCGCTGGGGAGCAGGGGGCGCGGGCAGAGGGGAGGCTGGGCAGCCACCCGCCCCGCGCCCTGACAATGCGGTCATTGTCGGCCCCGAGAGCGGTTCGCTCTGGATGAATGCTGCACGGCCCTCTTGACCACGGAGGCCGCTCGCCGTCCCCGATCTGTCCTCTCACAGGCCAGGGAGGCCCTGGGCTGGAGTCTGGCCTGCTCGGGGGCTGTGGAGGGGACAGGGCCAGCCCTGGGTGTGGGCGTGGCCGAGGAGACACCCAGCTGTCCTGAGCTCCTGGCCCAGGCCCCTGGCCGCAGGGTGGGCACTTGGTAGAGCCCTGCCTGGAACTCAGGGCCCATGGGGCCGCCCGCCCTCGGCATGGCCTCCTGGTTTGGCGGGAGCGCGGGCCCCGATCCCCTCATGGTCCTGCTGGTGATTATCTTGCTGGCGCGCTTCATTCTGTGGTCCTGCCTCGGGAGGTACATTGATTACAGACTGGCCCGGCGGCGGCAGCCCCCCAAACCCAAGGAGGACTAGGGCCTCTCCGAACGCCAGGCATGTCCCCTCCGGGGGGCACTGTCCCTGAGATGCCCGACCCTGAGTCTGAGGGTGGTGGGGCCGGGGGTCATGGAGCAGGGTCGGCCAAGGACCCTGGTGCCCCACCCACGGGCAGAGATGGACGATGGCCCACCTGGACTGACCAGGGCTGTCCTGATCACGTCCTACATCCCACGCTGGGGACAGAGGGGCCTCCACTGCCTGCCTGTCACTGCCTGGGGCCCCCTGTCCGAGTGCGTGATCCGGGGGTAGGTCTCGCTTTAAGACTTTCTGTGCTTCCAATTCTTTATAAACGTGTTTGCAGAAGGAGGTGGGGGTGAGCCAGATAGGTGGGTGGGGGGACACAAGAACAGATGTGACCACACCACAGCCAGCCTGCCACCAAGAGTCACCCCCCTGTCTCAGTCACCCCCTGCCGCCCAGAGGGGTGAGTAAGTGCGGGCAGCTGCCTCGGTTTCCCCCAGAGCAGACCCCTGGGAAGAGGTTCACTTGGGGCAGGAGAACCCGGCGGTGTGGGGGCTGGCGACGAAGCCGCGAGGCTGGCGGGAAGGGAAGTGGGGGGCAGAGGAGGGTCAAGATTGATCTTCAAGGACAAACCTCGCTGTGTCTGTCCCTCCCACGTCCTACCGGGATGCCCGGCGACCTGCAGCAGGAACTGGCACCTTTGCCAGGTTGCTACCGCCCTGGGCTCCGGGAGGGGAGCTCCCTGGTGGACGTGCCCTGTGTCCCTGGGGCCTGGGACCACGTCACTCTAACAAAGGGACTTGCGATGGGGGCTCTGGGCCGTGCCGTGTCCGCTGTACACCGGGGGCGGGGGAGCTGGAGACAGAGGCCCGACACGTCCAAGAAATGGAGCCCGATGGAAACCCAGGGCACCGAGGCTTGGGGGCTCCCTGGTGGCATTGCCGGGAGGAGCTGACACCACCGGTGACCACTGGTACAGCTGACCCCAACCTGCGTTCTCGCTGCAATAAACCACACCGTGAGCACGCCAGCTGCTGGGAGTAAGAGTGCTCTCCCTCACGACTGACCCTGAGGGTGAACTGGGGGACCCCGAACTGGCAACGGGGGTCCGGCATGAAGGTGGTAGTGGATGTTCCTGACCTCTTCACCTTCCTTCCCTCCCCTTCCCCCGCGGAAACCTCAGAAGGGCATCAGTGAAAAGTGAGTCAGCCCGCCCCTCTCCCCTGGCCATCTAACCCCTCCCCCAAATGCAGCCCGCGGTACCCCTTCCTCCGGGCTCCTCTGGAGCGATTCCGAGCGCTTTCGAGCAAATACAAACGTCTTCTCCCACTGCCTGCTCCTTTCCCATAAGCGTAGCAAGTTCCTCCTACTCTTCCATTGCCCATATCTGTTTTTGTGGGTTTTCTATTTATTTCTATAATGAGCATTTTTTTAAAGAAAGAAATAAACAAGTGAGTTATAAATATATTGAAAAGGGCAGCAAGCGAGACTGTGGGGCAAGGGTTGGGGAGGGGCTTGGGGAGCAGCCAGTCATTTCCTGGTGTGTTTAGGGGCAGGGGTGAGTGGGGAAGGGGCGCCTGGAGTGGGGGACAGGGCAAAGGGCAGTGTGGTCCCTCGGCCCGAGCCTAGTCTCATCATAAGAACCTCCTCCCACTCAGGAGGTCACACAGCCTAGGGAGCGGCTCCTTCTGCCGCTCCCCCCACCCCCCCAACTCTGTCCCCTGGGCAGGCCCCCGCTAGCCAGGCCAATCTGTGTGTGTGTGTGTGTGTGTGTGTGTGTGTGTGTAGGATGGGAGCCATAAAACAGCTCCCTGGTCCCACCCTCATTGCCCCCACATGGGACCCGATGCCACCCGCTGCCCAGCGCCCCTGCAGGTGTGTGCCGGGCATCCTGAGACCGGATGTTGGGAGGGGCAGGTGGTGAGGGTGCCTGCCTCTCTCCAGCCAGACCTCGGCCCAGGGTGTGGGCGGAGCAGCCTGGCCCCTGCCCTCTCCTCCTGCTTGGCCAGAGACCAGCAGGGCCTTGGAGCATCCGAGAGCAGAGCCGGTGGTGGGGATGAGTCACTGCATCTGAAAAAGAGTGAACGTGCTTCCTCCCAGCGCCAGCTGTGCCGCAGCGGCATCCCCAGCAGTGTGCCGCCGTGGCAGGGAGGCCCGGCCTTCCACGAGGCCGGAGCCTCGGGCTGCAGCCCACGGTGGGGGCTCTTTCCCCGCGACCCCCCCCCACCAGCCCCGCTGGTATTAGGGTCTGTACAGGCTCCATATTGGTGTGATGGACGGAAGAGAGGGTCCCCGCCTCCACAGCTCCCGGGGCAGTGGGGACAGTGGATGGCACGTGAATCATGTCCACGTCTGGGAGATGACCCTAAGGGCCACACCAGAGGGTCAGGGTGCCACAGAGATGCACCCAGGGAACAGGGCATTCATTCTGTCTCAGGGTTTGGGGAAGGCTGCCTGGAGGAGGTGTTGCCAGAGGCAGGGTTTGGGGACTCTGATAGGCAGGTCGGGAGGAATGGTGCTCCAGGCAGAAGGAACAGTATGAGCCAGGGCCCGGAGGCGGGAACGCTCAGGGCAAGTTTAGGATGCCCACAGTGCCTCTCAGACCAGGTCTCGCAGCGGGAGGGTGTGGTTGCTGGTGTTCTGGGGGCTGAGTTGGGGAAGGGGGAGGGATGCAAAGGGTCACTTGAGCTGTCATGCTGGTCTTGGCAAGACCCGGGCCCTCAACTGTGCTGGCTCCCCCAGTGGTACCTCCTCCAGAGAATGAGATGGGGGCGGGGCTGTGGGGAGGGGGTCTGGGGCTTCAACCGCACCTCAGAAGCATTTACCTAGTTCCCCTCATGCAGCAGCCTCTCCCCCCAGTTCCCGAGGGGATTTTTGGAGGAGTCCTCTATGTAAATAAGCTCTCGCCCTAGCCCCTGGCTTTCTCAGCCGCCGAGGGGCCAGCTTTCTTGGGTTTGCTCATCGCAGTCCATCCATCTTCTCCAGGCTGGTCGCTGCCCGTCTCATTCTCCGTGTCCTTGTGGGGGTGTCCGTAAAGCCCCTGCAGTAGCTCTGCCCAGGACCTGGGAAGGGGCAGCACTGGATGATGTCCTCAAGCAGCCGCTCCCCCAGCCCACGTTGCTTTTTCTCATTTAACGCTATTTTTCAGTTTCATCATCTACTTGTCACCATCAGAGACTTTCCCCCCAAAGAGCATCCCATGGAATGTCGGTAGCTGTGCCAGGAAACCAAGATATTCCAGAGGCAAATAAATTGGGGTGTTTGGGGTTTACGAGGAAGACGGCGGTCAGTGCCAAGGCCTGGAATCTCCGTCTGGGCACGTTCGAAGGCCGGCAAGGCCTGCAGCCCCAGCCGAGCGCTTCCCGGAGCCCCCGCCTCTCCCTTGACCCCTCGCCGCTGACCCCCAGGGGGTCTCTGGAACCTCTCTGTCTCCACCTGTTGCCCCTAACCCTCTCGCTGTCCCAGGGCCATGATCATCACGTCACTCTGAAGTCTCCAGACGCTCGGCCCAGGATCTCCTGCTGCTGTGGGCTCCCCCCTCCACTGGAATGTGTTTTTAAAAACAGGGTGTAGTTTAGATGTAGTAAAAGGCATGCATTTTAAAGTGTGTATCTCCATGTATGCATATCTGTCCATGCAACCATCAAGTAAGAGGTCAAGTTATAGCATTTCTAGCACCCAGGCTCCCTTGGGGCCCTCCAGCCACTGACACACCCCTCCCCCCGCCCCCCGGGAACACCATCCTGATTTCTATCTCCACAGATGAGTTTCTCCTGTTTTTAAATATCATACAAGAGAGACCGTGTATGCTTTTTACTAATGCCCGGCTTCTTTCTCTCGGAGTGGTGTCTGCCAGCGTCATTCCTGCTGTATGCGCACCCCCATTCGTTCCTCCGTGCTGCCAAGCAGTGCCCCACGGCGGGGGGGGGGGGGGGGGGGTTCATTTACCCACTCCACTGCTGGGGGACATCTGGGTAGTTTTCAGGTTTTGATTACTTTGAATAAAACCTCTGGACACGTGGACACGTGCCTTTTGACGGCCACATGCACAGATTTTTTAGATTCATGCTCCGAAGTGGAGCTGCTGGGTCTTAGGGTGCCGATAGTTTATCGGAAACGGCCTCGCCGTCCTGCAGCCAGTGCGCTGGCGCTCACGTTCGGCCCACTTGTAGCTGGCGCGTTCCAGGCGCTCCACGTCTTCTCCGGGGCTTGGTCAGTCCCTCAATCCCCTGCCTCCTCCTGCTGGGTGTGCGGCGGCATCGTGTGATCAGAGATGTTCTGGGTGTGATCAGTATACGCTGAACACCAATCACATGTGCGGTCTCATGCCAGGTGTTGGGAACATGTCACCGCCTCCCGGAAGCCTGCCCTGGCCTCAGGCCGGGCTAGGAGAACCCCGAGGGGCTCCCACAGAGCCCCTGTGCCCCAGGCACATCACCTGCTGTTGGATACCAGGAAGGGCACCCTGCCGTCTGCTGGAAGAAGGAAGGAGGGGAGGGAGGGAGGAGAAACGGAGGGAAGAGAGAGGGAAAGGGGAAGGGAAGGGGGAAGGAGGGGAGAGGAAGGTGGCTGGCGGCACCGGCACCGTGTGAGCAGAGCAGCG